CCACCACTGGCGTGTGCGTGTGTGCATTGGGGGACGGGGCGGGAGGGAGAGGAGTTATCTGCAAGTGTCGGAAGGGCCATAGGGTGGGCAGAGTGAGGCAAGTTAATCTTTTTGGTTTCTGGTTAATGTTAAAGAGCGTGAAGGATCCCACGGATAGGCACTGGAATATGATTTTTTTTTTCAGGGAAACTGACAGACAGGATGGAAAGAAAGACAACTTGGATGCCCTTGCCTCATTGCCCTTTGCTTGAAACAGCCACCTTCCCATAGATAGGGAGGAGGCAGGCTCCAGAGCAGAAGGGCGAGGGAGTTGAGGAGGGGCTCTTCAGAGTTGGAACTTGGAAAAAAAAAAAAAAAAAAAAAAAGGCCTACCCCCCCCTGCAAATGGAGGGGAGGTACAGGGAACAAAAAGCTAATACCCAGTTCCTCTGAACTCTCCCCAGGCTGGGGGTGGGTGGGGGGATTAAAGCAAGACCCCCTGCCCTGTCGGGGAGAGCTGGGGGGAGGGGAAGGGACACACAGAAGGGACACATTCTGTTGAGCACAACGCTAAAAATTCTGTACATCCTTTGGGTGAAGCTACTGAATATTTGGTGTAAGGTTGTTCGGTCCTTTCTCTTATGCCTTCTGGAAAAGACCATTTGGCAGGCGGCTCTGGGCCCTGGGCCTCCTGCCCCAGGCAATGCCCTGTCACTGCTCGCCCAGGGCTGGGGCTGGGCCAGCAGGCCGGCACAGTCTCTAGCTCCTTCTCTGCTCACCTCTTGTGGGGGTGTGGGGAGGAGTTGGCCCCACAGCCAGGGCTACGCCGCATGAGGTCCGACCTGCTGGAGGCTGCTCGCTCCTGGCTGAGGGTTCTTATTTGGTGTCGTAGCAGTGAGCACTCCAAGATCTGGCTCGCAACTGGTTTTTGGTTTGTTTGATTGGGGGGGGAGGGGGTGTTTGGTTGGTTTTGGTGTTTTTTGTTCATTTGTTTTTCATCTCTGGTTCCTTTAGGGCAGCTGGTTCTGTTGTGAATATTTTTGGTTTTCTCTTTTGTTGGTCCCTTTTTTTTTTTTTTTTTTTTTTTGT